ATTTAATTTGACTAAATGAGACAATGAGACTAAGATGTAAAGTTTCACGACCTTTTTTTTACTGGCTCTATATAACCTTCAGGCCGGGACACAGCGGTGCAAGCACTGTTATTGTGCTGCAGTAATAGATTACCTCCAGACGAATTCCTAGGTAGAAATGGACTCTTTTTAAGAAAAATACCTATGTAAATGACATATCCATTAACGAACGTTGGTTGGTGTCTAGACTAATACATAATGGCATTATCTAAATAAGACATCAATATTTTAATGTCTTATTTAGATAATGCTATAAAAAGTAACCCATAATAAATATCTAGATATTTATTATGGGTTACTTTTTTCTATAAATTAAAATTATTTCTAGAAGTTCAATTCAAGAGAAAACGGATATTACATACTAATATGTAATGTACGTCATAATTCATTTTATGACAAAAAACATAGAGAAAGACGGCCCTCAAGACCGCCGCGCCGCGCCGGCGGCAAGTGTTACTCTATGAACAAAACCTCAGTTATCAAAATTTGCAGGTGAATTCAGCAGATTATAACATAATCATTAATTATAAGAACTGTACGTAGCATTAGTGTTTATCGCTTTAGATAGGTCATATTCCTTATTCTCTAATACGAAAATTTATCAACAAGAGAAATAAAAAACGTAAATGTGGTCTTTTATAAACTTTTTTTTTTGCAGTAGTCGAATACTTATTATATATTATACAGTAGACACAGTTTATATATCTATATTATAAATTTTCTAGTTATATTATATATACACAAAACTTGTGATAATGAAATATATATATATATACATATGAGAGATATATTCCTTCACGGATTTTTTGTGGGTAATAATGAGTAATTTAATCGTGTAGTACATTATAAGTATCATCAATAGTTTGCTCAGCGAACGTCAAATTATGAGTTTCATAGAATTAATTTCGGGAAAAATTTTCTACTTTAGGTTACATTATTGCAATTTTTTAAAGGATATCTATTTAAAAAAAAATATTAGGCTATATTTTTTTATTTGCTGATAATTTTGCTTTCTATTGGTAAAAAAATCTGTCTAGACGGTTTCGGAGCTTATTCGGTACACACAAACAAACAAAAAAAAACCATAAAATTCTTTCTTCCTTATGTACTAGTATATATTTGATTTTGGATACCTATTTCTAAAACAATTGTTATTTTTAAAAATATCTTATTATACTTTACTTGTTTTTGCTTGTTTTTGGGTAAAATGGTTATATGGTGCGTCAAAATTAAAAGGACAATTTTAAAGTAGAAGCAAAAAGTGCAAATACTTACTAAAATTTTTATAAAACAGGTTTACAATCTATTTATTGAGCAGAATATTTTCTTAGTTGCTAGGAGAGAGAAAAAAAATCTCATCTAGAAATAGTTTATATTTCATAAAATATCTAAAAATCTGTTCAGAATTTTCTACTATAGTAAATGGAAGAATGATAGATTAATTTAAGACCTTTAATAAAAAATAAAAAAACATTTCGTAATCTTTTTGTTTTAAATAAAAATGTACTTTTTTAATCGCCGTAGATAATTAGTATAATAACAAAAACTTCATTTCTTTTTACAAAACTATTAATTTTAATTAAAATTGAAAAAATCTTATAAAATCTAATTAATAATAATCAGTGTTGCCACCTCTGACGTTAATTAAACATCGACATCGATTGTTCATACTTAAAATGATCGATTTAATATCAAAAATAAATTGTCAATATCTTGCTGCGGTATGAGGTCCCATTTTCTTGGCAAGTGTTCGTAAAGTTGTTGTTACGTCGTCAAATTTGGCAGAAAACCTCTCTAAGATTTTCGTTGTAACATGTCCCAGGCAAACTCAATAGGATTTGAGACGGGCGACTGTGCACGCCAATCCAAAACTTGCATATCATGATCTCAGAGAGCGGCCGACACCAACCGCGCTGTATGGGAAGGAGCATTACCGTGCATGAGTAGAAATTTGTGGCCCACTTGCATTCTGTGTGGGACAATAACAGGCTCTACTACCTCCTCGTAGTATTTTTGTGCATTCATGCTATCTTGGATCCAAACGAGCTAGGTTCGTCTGCCAAGACGAATTCCTGCCCACACCATTATTGTCCCGCCTTTGTATGAGTGGATCTCTTAAGGGTGCTATAGACAGCTAACTCTCCCTAGAGTTTTTCAAACACGTGTTCTTCGTGAATACAGATAAAACCTCAACCGGTACTGATCGGTGAACAGCACCAGAGACCGTTTGTCACCCGTGGTAAATGCTACCGAGGTCACGAAAGCCGCCGACCACGATTTCCACGTCGCAATGCTGGAACACGTATTGGTCTTCGAGCACTTCATGCAACCTCCATCGCACGGTTTGATTGCTAACTAATAACTTTGGTCCTCCTGTAGCCTTTGTAGTAGTTGCATGGCTGTGATATGGGTTGTCTTCTGGCGGTCATTTGGCCGTCAACATCAACCCGTGTGCCGTTCAGCTACATCTCCAGTACTACGATAACGCGACTACAACCTTGATATCACGGATCGGCTGGTATGTAGGGCCTCAGCAACGACGCGTTGAATAGCACCATTTTCTAACATGCCGACTGCTCGTAACATTTCATTTGGACTCAAATGATGACGTGACATGACTCTTAAAGCTCACACGGCACTTTAAAATAAAAATAAAAACAATCTAGTCCATTTTCAGTGTATCAATAATATCCGTAGAACAGTTTTAATTCTTCTTGACCTAACGAATTACTAACAATATTGCCGATTGCCGCATTGCGTTATCATATAGAAATACAGACACCATCGAAAAATTGTCAGGGTGGCTTCCGGTGACTTCAAAACGTCAAGATTTGATGAAAACTCAATTTTCGGAAAACGGGGTAAAAACTATAACTTCCCGATTTTTTTAAATTTTCAATTTTTTTAGCGGGAATTTAAAAAAGTTACAGTCTTATATGTCCTACTGCTGGGCTCAGACCTCCCCTCATTTCTGAGAGAGTTTAAGGGTAAGGAATTGTCCACCACGCTGCCCCAATGCCTGTTGGCGTGCTTTACGTCTCCGAATTTTCTTTTCCGAGAAATAATCTCAGACATACAGTTTTCTTCACGTGATAAATCAGCACTCAAAATTGCATTAACAATTTCTTTGTTACCTGCGGGGATCGAACAACCGGCGTTGCTTAAGTACTATTAAATTTACAGAATATGCTCTAAAAACACTGGAAAAATGATTTTATTATTAGTGGTTTAAAAAGTAACAACAATACTGGCCCGCATCACAAGCCATAAGTGAACGCTTCACGCTTATTAACTCCGTTCAGTTGGTGGTTGTAATCGACAAAGTCGCAAATCAACGAATCGCGCGCACTACTGATTTAAAATATACATTCAATGCTTATTATCGCTTTTTGTCACATCTATCAATTGCAAAACAAATTTTCAATCAAAATTTGCTTTGAGTAAAAATTTGATAAGCAAAGGACTTGCATCGAATACATGTAAGTCCTTTGCTTATCAAATTTCTTTTCTTTTCTTTTCTACGTGCCGTATCTACGGTATGTAGAACGTGATATAATTATTTTAAAATCGCTGACATACTAAGTGCTAATATTAAAAAATCAATATAATATGAAGTACACGTATAAAATTTTAAATACCAATACGCATTCAAATAATATTTTATAAAATTGTATAATTGCTAACAATACATCCAAAAAGATCTTTTATCCATAACGTAACATAAACACTCACGCCTGCCACCCAGAAGGGTAGGCAGAAACTACGAACTTCCATTTGGCACGATCCTGATATACTTCCCTCGCTTCCTTTACATCTATATATCTACGCATACACGCTAGTCGGTTGAGGGTACTTCTAATGTGGCCCATTTTCGAAATATCGCCAATTTGGTCAATAAACTTTCGTTTAGGGCCTCCCTTCTCGACTCTGCTGTTCACATCTGCCATATAAATTTGCTTTGTCACTCTCATCGTTCATTCTTTCTACATGACCAAACCACCGAAGCGTTTCTTTCTTAATCCTGGTCACAACATCATATTGCATACCATTTTTTTCTTTTATCACATAATTTCTCATCATGCCATTCAGATTCAACCCTAGGATATTCCTCAAAGACCACTTTTCTACAGCATTTATTCCACTTTCGTGCTTCTTTTGCCATACCCAACTTTCACTACCATACATTTCTTTATTAGTTAGCTTTACGCCGCTACCATACGGCGAGGAGCCGAGTCTATTTTATTTTCGGCTTTGGCGCTCGTTTAACACCACCCGGGGGACACGGGTAGGGTGGGCCTAGGGTTAGATGGTCGAAGCCTACGGACGCGAGCGACTCATCCCCTTATCTATTTTTTATTTACCTAAGATTACTAGTCTAGTAGCCTTAAGTTTAAGAGATTTTAGATATCTCACACTAGTGTGGCTGTGATACGGCTGCAGCACGAGCTGGTCAATTGGTCAAAAGATGGTCATTTCGTTCGGGGAGAGACAACAGTCTGATATAATAGCGGCGTACAAAATAGTACTTCTTTATTTTGTATGGTTAGTGATGGAAACTTGATAGCCTATTGGCTATCCTAGTCCTCATGGGTGACAACATTGCATTATTTTTATTATTACATGCATTTTGATTTTTAACCGAGAGAAGATGTAGATGTCATAGGCCTCCCCTATTAATTGCCTCACAGGAGAGATATTTACTATAAAGGCTTCCGCAATTTTTTGATATTTTGAGATGTTATCATAAAAGATGTTGCAGCCTCTCTTCTGTTTCAGTTTTCCTCTGTCGCCTCTTAGGACACCCACGGAATGATATGAGGAAGTTGATTCTCCAAGTCCTGGTGGAGTAAGAGATTCAACTACATGGCGTCTGGAATATTGGTATACACGGCGTCATCATCCACATACAGATAAAGAAATAAAGTACACTTTTTTGACGTATATTTTGATTCAATAATATGCTAAGGGGTAGCTTTATTATCATTGTTAACTAACTTTTCACAAAGAAACATTGCGGGATTAAGACAAGAAGTAGTTTGCAAGAAACCTGTTCTGGATATAGCACCACATCTGTTTTCTTTCGGCTTTCTCTTCCCTTCTTGTAATGGACTCCAAGAAGAATATCCCGCTTGTTCCAGTGTCTCGCCTAAAACAAATAAAATAATTTATTATAATATATTCCTAATCGGAATCTTCATATGTAAACACCAATAGATTTTAAGAGCATATCTTTATATTCTTGATTTCATATTCAGTGCCTTGAATAAGAAATTTGCAGCAATCTTTGTTATTGTTGACATAGAAAAATTATTTAGGGCTGATTTTTCAAACGTCAGTAAAAGTTATCGGTCAAATAAATTATTATGGGTCTGAAAATAAAAGTGAAACTATTGAACTATTTTATTCAAACAACTCTAATATTAAGTTTGTTTATGTTGTATTTTATCTCTCAGGTTGAAAAATCAGCTCTCAAAGATTTAAATAAATAAACATTTTTCTGTTCTAACGCCGTATAATCTAGAAAACTCGAAATTATTACCAACTTTAAAGAACCGATATAGAATTTTAATAAGAATAAAATACTGTAGGTATCGACTTTTTTTTAAATATTTTAATATTTCTTGGATTTGGTGGAGAATAATTAGTTTGACGATGATGTCAGCTTGACATAATTGTATTAAAATACCTATTATTTTATAAATGGCTATTATTTTGTACTAGTACACGGAATATGTACTGTTTATAAACAATGTGTGATACTACCCGATATCGTCAAGTCGTTGTCATAAAAGACAACGAGGGAAACTGAAATAGGACATGGGCAGCGACATCTTTCTCATAACAACTCCAAATAAAAAATAAGAAACTGGGGTTGCTAAACCGGCTGAAAATCGTAGCATCTATGCCAATATCCTCCCAATGAGACATCGTTTTATTATGTATTTTTTATTATATTTAACAAGTACACTTACAATATACATATATGACAATCACGAAAACATGCACATTTCGATACTCTCTGATATATATATATATATATATATATATATATATATATATATATATATATATATATATATATATATATATCAATAACAAGTGTACATAATATTCACAGATTGAGTCGTGCAATTTTGGGTTAATTTGGAGTACAAATATCATCCAATCAATACAATGCAAATTAGAACTATTCAAATAAATTATTATACAAATACAAATAATATATTTATAAGTATGTAATTTATATCAGGAACTCGACGATAAATGATTTGTAAGTTTAATATTGAATGCAATATAAGAGTCGTTAAATTACATACACCTTCTATAGACAATGATGGATAATGAATATTTAATATGTAGGTTAACTAATATCTCACCTGTTATCGTTCTATATTGAAACGGGAACATCAAATCACTAAAGCCTATATGTAATATCTCAGGCTCCGGCGCGTTGTTGTTGATATTTTCCCCAAGCATACTAACAACGAAGTTGGCCTCTTCTGGAGTGTTTATTATACAAAGACGACCTTCTTCCAACATACAAACCAGGTATGCATCGTGCCATGATAATGGCTCAGTGTGAAACTTATAACATTTTTTGTTATCATGAAGTTTATAACCTGTATACATATTATTTTAATATTATTACATTTTTAAGTAAAGGAGTCGAACTTTATGAAAAGTTATAATCCCTAATAAATAAAAACATGTAAAAGCCACGTTTTGGCACGAATAGGTCAACTCGACCGGGGAAGAACCAGTTTTTGTAAATAGATCTCACGATTCCAGTTTTCAATTTGTGAGGATTTTTATTAGTCTTTATGCAGACATTTACTAGTTTTGCAAAAGCCGGAGAAATTTCTTCGCAAATTCTTTTTATATCTATCGCCCGAATTCTGTCAAGACCCGGAGCTTTGTTAACATTTATTGTTTTTATAATTTTAAGGATCTCTTTAGGTGTCGTTTTTTGTAAATTCATTGTTACGTTAACCGGTGTTCTGTATTCTATTTTATCTAAAATGTAATTTTTACATAGAGGTATTATGTTTTGAACGCTACTATGAAATTTATTCGCAAAGTTAATTGCAATTATATTTTTATTTTTGTTTGTGCCTCCAAACGCATTTAGGAGTACTGTATCCACCGTCTTACGCACCCTATCTGTTATTCTGTTAAGAATAAACCAGAGTTGTTTTAAATTATCTTTATATTAATTGATAGAATCAGGCGTTACTTTGCGGAAATCCATTATAATAAAAATATAAATTACTTCGCAACCTTTCGCTAGCTAAACACAATGATGTGTCTTACCTGGATTGAAGAGCACCTCCCGCCCTACCTCAATTGCATGCACTAACTCCGTCACTACTAGTACCAGCACCACTACTCCTAACACCACTACTCCCGGCACCACTACTTCAAACACCATTATTCCAGGTAAGACACACCATCGACGATAATACGACACGTGTTTCGCCTCTACACGAGGCATCCTCAGGTAATGTACACTCTACGGCGACTGACCGCTAAGTGAGTGGCGAGCTTTTGTTTTTTTTTGCGCCCGAAGCAAATATGGGCAACCCTCCGAAAAGCGGTCTCTACGGCGGCTAACATTTATATATATATTGTAATGTAGTATCTGGACAGACCATATATTATTCAATGAACGTTTTAATTTTTCGTTGTTATATATATATATATATATATATATATATATATATATATATATATATATGTAGCCGTGGAAGGAAAAGGGGAGATCTCACGACAGGCAAGGTGTTCTGCCTGGGGAGCGGTCGACACTCCGTATGATAATTCGGAGATGTTCTATATATACTCTTTATGATTCGGAATGTTGATAGCGTGATTTAGGCTTCGGTGTGTTTCGGTGTGCTAGTGGCGCGACGACAGCGCCGCTACATCACCCCCTGCTCAGACCGGAGGTCGATAGTGAAGTCTCGTTGTCGACGAATGTGCAAGTAGTGCCAGGGAGATTGCCTTGTAGTCTGCGGTGAGTCGAGAAGAAGGCAAGTAATCTGCGAGAGTGCCGTGAAGCAGAGGCGAGCAGTAAGGCTCAGAGCCGTGCCGAACACTGTATAGCGCAGAGAGTAGCTTGAAGGAACAGGAAGCATTATTATTCCAGTGCTGCGATGAACCTTGTGAAGCTAGATGGCTTGCAGGATATGAAGACTGCAGACGATATCTGTTCGGGAGCGAATGGGTGGGGTATTCTATTACGTTGATGAAGCTTGAAGTTTGCGAAGGTTGTTTGGTTGCGTGTTCAGATCACGTCGGGGTCACCACTGTAGCTGTGGAAGGAAAAGGGGAGATCTCCCGCCAGGCAAGGTGTTCTGCCTGGGGAGCGGTCGACACTCCGTATGATAATTCGGAGATGTTCTATATATACCCTTTATGATTCGGAATGTTGATAGCGTGATTTAGGCTTCGGTGTGTTTCGGTGTGCTAGTGGCGCGACGACAGCGCCGCTACATATATATATATATATATATATATATATATATATATATATATATATATATATATATATATATATATATATATAAGTAGTTTCAGACTTGTTTGTTTCACAAAGGCAAACACTACCGCTCGGTGGTCCGCTAGCATTAAGTATACCGAGCGCCGCGGTGTAAACATCTTGTTGGCGTGATCTCGCGTACACATGATCAATACAGGATTTAGTTATTCTATCGTCAATTAATTCAATTCTAGTGTACTGCGATATCCCGCACGCAAGGCCGTAGTTACGTAGCATGTAGTTATATTTATGTCTTATAGGAGTATATGTTTGCAAGTCTATGTTCACGTCTCTGAGGATAAATAGTTCACAATTTGTGTCCATACTACCGATCAAAGTGTGTAGTTCGTCGATGAATAAATGTTTGCTTAGATTAGGAGGGCGATAAATTGCACATACAGTTGCCGTGTAAAAGATGGAGTGCAAAATTGAAATAATATATGTTCTAAATGTTTTGTTAATAAGTTACTAATTATTATAAATTTATTCTTCTTGCATATATACATGCTATTATACTGCCACCCCCTCGGTTTTTACGCAGCACTGTGTGCATGTGATAGTCCGATAGGTTATACTTATACATGTGTATGTGTGTACTCATCTAACGCATGTAATATCTATACATGCGTTAGATGAGTATACACATTGTTCTAAAGCATCAAAGTTTTTAATCAAGGACCTTATATTTATGTGCATGCTTAAAAGGTTAGTTTGACAATTTTTAACAGTAATATGATTTAAAAATTAATTTATGTTTGTACAATTACTCAATTCACAAATATCGTCTAAATGTATGTCCATTAAAAAAAAAAAAGAAAGAACAAAAAACCTTATTGATATATTTTTTGAAATTAAGTACCTATATAGAATAATTTAATGCGGCTGTACACGGACTTCCTTTTGTATTAAGGCTTTAATGTCATCATCAGTTATAATTATGAACGATTGATCTTTTTCACTTTTTCTTGCTCTAATAACTCCATACTTCCACCACACATATTTGTATATCTGCTGTTCTTAAGTCTCTAACTACAATCAAAACATTGTCGTTTTGATTGTAGTTAGAGGTTGCACTTAAGGTATCCCGAAATATAAGTTAGGTTAGTAACATAGATAACTATAACGTCACAAGTTAATTCTAGTCTTCCCAATAAAGCATTAAAATTAGTATAATTTTTTATACTCCCTATGTTTTGTTGTGAAACTTTTAGGTATAAATTAGGGTCTATAGTATGTGCCAAATCGATTGAGAAAAATGGACAATGACCTCAGATATGAGTGTCAAAAGGCGTAACTTACAAATTCTCAATTTGGATGTGATAAAAATATTTCAATATTGATATTATTCACACTTCTAGGTCAGCAGATATGTTTTGTTTTTATGTATCTTAAATAATATTTTCTGTGGTTCCTGTAAACATCGTAAAATCTTACGGTACGTCGCGAAAAATGTGTTATATTTAAATTTATGGTAAGTAACGCAGCAATTCATTTAATAACAGTTTCATATAAAAAAAATATTTGAAGCAATATAATCACCATATTGAGCTTTTGAAAATTCATCCCTTTAAAATAAACAAAACGCGCGTTACGTCAGTTCGTTCTAAAAGAAACGTGACAATGGCAGCCAGAGATGCGTCACCTTTTTTGGGCCGATCCGCATGCACCGAATAAAAATAAAGTTCTTATATAATATTGAAAATAAAGTTTTATGTTTTGAATAAGTACGTACTAATTCGGTGTCGTTATCACTCGAATCTTTATATGTATTATAAATTTATGATTTTTGTTGTTAAATGAATAAAGTACTTTATAACAATAGATGATTTTTCTTCTACAGCGATCTTTTACAAAACTTTTTAATAATAGTTAATAAATATACATTATATCAATCTTTATAAAAAATCATTATAAATAATGAAAGTACTACATATAAAATGTGTTTGTAATCCCTGGTTGAACGACCTAAAGATCTTTGTCCGTTTTTCGCAATCGATTTGGCACCTACTGTAGTATTAAGTTTTTGCAATATTCCGGTTCGCATACTAATAAACAACGTCATATACTAATAAACAACGTTACGTTACGTATGACGTTATTCGCATATTTCAAGTTTCGTAATTTCATAGTCATCTATAGAGTACTATAATATTATTATTATATATATTAATAAATAATTTTTAAGTCCTGGATTGATAAAAATAAATAAAATTAGGCTATAAATAAAGAGTTTCACAAACAAGTTTTTTAATATTTTACAAGATATCATTCTTAGTTAAATCTGAAGAGTTTTCTTCTTTTTTTTCTATGTGTACATAAAATATGCGTCTTTATAATTTTTATAATTGTTGATATTCGGTGAAGGCTTAGTAGGTTGGTTACAGTTAACTTCAGAAAGGTATCTTTTGAAATTCTTTACGTGTGGGTACATAAAAATACTCTTTTCTACCGTTTTAGTGCGGCGGCATATTCAGTTGATTGAATTAATTATAGTATACGGAGATATATGGTAGGTTAGTTGACATATGCGCGGGCACTTTTAATGACTAATAATACCGAGGTGATTGATTTTTCATTTTTCTTGTACTTTCTAAAATTTGTGCTTGTGCTCGAGAGTAGAAATGGCTTTAACCCAATCAAGGTTAGTTCGTAGCATACCTCTTCACTGAGTCCAAAGCTGCTTTAGGCGGTATTTTGCAAAATGCGATGCAAAAAACTAGACTTTCGCTTTGTATTATGTAAGAAGCGGGTGCGGCGTGAAATACCGCTGCGTCTTTGTATCTCTACTATCTTTCTATCTAACCTAACTTTCTTGTGGCTTTGGAATCAATATATCACCCAAAGTTGAAATCTCAAACAATCTTTTATGTTATATTATATAATATGACATGAGGTTAAGTTTATATTTTTTATAGAATAAGGATAACAAACGAGCACACAGTCCACCTGACGGTAAGTGGGTGCTGTGACCCATAGACGTCATATACATTTAAACTCGATTAAAATCAAAATGTAGATGCGTCGCCACTGAGGGCTAAGATAGAATGCGTCATTTACAGTAAAAAGAGACTTCGGTCCTCTACACCTACCGTACGAATCACATAGCATTAAGCTGCTATGCTGCTAGCCCGGTCGGGCCGACCCATTTGTGATATATCTGCAGCGTGGCTCTACCGCGTATAAATACCTATGTTTTTTAAATTGTATTTCACTGTGAAGAATATTAAAGAAAATGCATTCAATGATTTACATATTAATTTAAGAGATGTGCAGAAAAACAGTACATAAAAATAATGATTTTGTGTCAACTTGCCAACATCAAATCCATCGCACATTTTATTGTATGTACTTTTAGTACCCAATATTTTGCAAACAAATGGGTAAATATCGTAGCAAGGCCTATCGTCAAGTAGACCTTCTCTTGTCATAACCACACAATCTTCACTATAATTTCTGTTATCTGGTCGACCATCATCCCATAGTAATTCCAAAATACTTCCTGTTATTGGTTCCCCTGTAAAATTATTAAACAATTTTTATATTAAATTATACAAAGTTATTAGTTCCTCATAATTTATTACCCGATATCAACTTTATGTTTAATCGAAATTCATTATAACACTTAATTTAAATACGTATACATAATTTAAATATGTATATACGTATTAGTGCCACGCTGCAACTATGTTATGTTGTAGCACGAAAGGGTCGGCTCGACCGGGGAAGGACCACACTTTCAAAGAATACCAGCGTATGGTTGAGTGTAGAAAACTGGAGATCCGTTTTGCTGAAATCTAGGCATTCTATCTTAGTCCACAGGGGTGACAAGACATCTGAATTTTGATTCTTAATCGAGGCTCAATATAGATGTCTATGGGTCACAGCATCCACTTACTATCTGGTGGACTGTGTGCTCGTTTTTCACCCTAATACCATTATAATAAAAAGGGTGCATTCCATTAAATGTGTAAGATGAAGTGGCTAGGGCATGTCATATTAACTCGAAGTAACTACAACCATCGAGTTAAATTGATTATCCAGTGGCGGCTCCGTACCGGTAAGACACGACCAGACTGACGACATGGTAAGAGATGCAGAAAGTAGACGGATGCAGTTAGCTCGTTATTGGACTTGATGATGATGTTAATTTATAATTTTATATAATATTTAATGTACAATTCTATTTTATATGTATTACTAGCTTCTTTTTCTTCTTCTAGAATAAAATTAGCCTAAGCTACTTCTTATAACATCAGCTATCTGCCAGTGAAAGTTCCGTCAAAATCGGTCTAGGTATTATGGAGATTAGCCGGAACAAACAGACAGATAGACAGACGGACAGACCAACAGACAGATAAATATGTAAAAAAAATATTTTTTTGTTACCTCATATACTTTTATGTGTATTTAGTAAAAAACTCTTATTTTACATCACAAACGGATATTTTAAATTCATTTAGTTGTATAGATATAATTTTATATCGTATGATGATATTATTGTGCGAATAATGACTTCGATTTGAATACAAACAATTATATTAATAAATAACTTCAAATCAAAAAATAATCTAATATATATTTAATAATCGTAATTAAATTGATAGTTTTGTTGCACCAAACTTGAATAAGTACCTCTAATAGTGACAAAGTCGCCTTCTGAAAATTGATCGTGTATTCCAATAAATATTGCAGTATAATAAGATTTCATGTTGCTTATAAGGAGTTTTATGTTTTCCACTTCCTCAAGTGACCCTGGTACTAGTAACGATGTGCCCTCTGCTTCGCAAATTTGTCGTGCCTGTTCCCAGTTAGTTGCTAAATCGTGGAGTCGATAGAATGTTTTGAATGTATGAGCCCACATGTAATCCATGCGAAATTTCTGTGCTAAAATTAAAAAGTGTGTTATAGTTTAGATCAACCAGTCGGATGGTTTAAAACCATAAATAAAACTATATATTCTTACTGTTTACAAACACCCATAGCGTTATAAATGTAAGCAAGTTTAAAAACATTGTGTAGTTTTAATATCGTCAATATATACGATGATCGTAAATGATTTTAATAGAAAGTAACTTTAATCAATAATTCGATTATTCCGGTTATGAACTGCGCTGTTTTTGACGCAGTAAAGGTAAATTCTATTATACCATTGCTTTTAATTCGTCGTTACTGATTTTAGTCTCCGGTCGAATATGGGACTCGTTGTTGAGGACGAAATTTCTAGAAACAAAAACACACCGGGTGTTCATTTGCTCGCCCTAACCTGTATCTATCGTTGTTTTAAATATAAAGTAACTTTGATCAAAAATTCTGACTATAAAATGCTTCAATTTGTTATGTATAAACATTTTTTTTATATTGGCAAAACCTATCGTACTCTATGCTTTTTTAAACACTCAATCAAGTGTGATCAAGCGAAACTGAAATTCAATTCTCTGTTTAACTTGATAGCTGCCACGAATAGCGCGACATCTGTTATTTTTTACGTAATAAAGGCCGCATTGGCCCGCCTCACTTGGTCCTTCCGAAACGCTTATTTGAATCTACTTCAGGCGAATTCCTTTTCTGTGAGTGTCAGGTAATTATCTGTGAGGCATTCCAATTTTCCGATCGAACGGTTAATTCAGTTTAAATCTCTTGGTGTAATAACGAAGTCACTCTGTTTAATCCTAGTCTCTTAAAATCACTTAAGTCGGTCATGGTTTTGCGGTCCGTTTAGAATAAAGTAACATATGTATTTATATTGATCATTGGAAACATTTTACAATAATAGTATTTATGAACATTACTACACTCTATTATGAAGAACTAGAATGTGTCTAAAAAGGCACGTATGGTAATTCATAATGCTGTGTTAGTCCCTACTTTAATGTATGGTAGTGAAAGCTGGGTGTGGCAGAAGAAGCACGAAAGTAGAACAAATGCTGTAGAAATGCGGTCTTTAAAGAATATGCTAGCACACACACACACACACACACACACACACACACACACACACACACACACACACACACACACACACACACACACACACACACACACACACACACACACACACACACACACACACACACGCACACGCACACGCACACGCACACGCGCACGCGCGCACGCACGCACGCACGCACGCACGCACGCACGCACGCGCGCACGCACTCACGCACGCACGCACGCATGCTCGCACGCACACGCACACGCACACGCACACGAACACACACACACACACACACACACACACACATATATATATATATATATATATATATATATTTGTCCCATTTTTGAGCACCGGTCAACCGGCGGGCAAGGCTATGTCCACTATCCTGCCTCAGTGCGTATTGACAGCGTCCACATGTCTTGAAAATATTTTGTTTCTTCACACATTCAAGTCGATATTACTTGGTATTGCAAGAGATTGCTGAATACTAATTACTTAAAATAGCTACATGATATTGAAATTAAGGATAAAGATAAACTGGTGCCAAGTACGTAACGTAAGCAGCAAATGCATTAGAATATGTGGACTCCTGATTTCGAACGAAAAACCCAACCCGATACGTTAGATGCTTGACTTTTACTCTCTTATTCAGGCGTAAATATATTTATTTATATACATCAGACTAAATAAATCATTCTCAAAAGTGTCTAACGTCAAACTTCCATTGCATACATAGGTTAAGTATGTACATCTACATAGGAGCGTTGCAACACATACGTTGTGAACGTGGGACCAGCTTAACTGTGTTTCTAATGCATATTTTCTTGCATAAAATCTCCATAGTCCAGATGTCATAATGCGTTGCATACGTTGCGTACGCTTCAGGAAATTTTACGGAAAGAGATAAACACAAGTTTGCAAAGTTTAGGGTACAAGCCATTGCTTTCATTTTCAATTTAATTTATTGTTTAAAAAAAACGTATGGATGGATATTCATTTATAAGTAATCTAGATCCGAATCCGTTGAACAAGATCAACGTTTCAGTGAATAAACTTTACCGCAACTCATCAGTCGCAATAGGTGGGGATCTGATAAAAGTTTACGAGAAGTTTCTCACGCGATATCGTCGCCTTCGTCATGTTAATTGGATTGGAATAAAGTTAGAGTTTACTTCATTGGCAAATATAAATTAGCTTGTAATCTAATCACTTCTCTTGGAAAATTGTTTCTGGTTAAATTTCGTGGATACGACTACTACTATAGTCATCACTAACTGATTATAAAAAAACAGAAACATTGGTGATTGAGGTGTTATAGACAGTTATATACCAGTTATAAAACAATTAATAGTGTATACAATGCGGTTTACCGAAATGTTTTTCTTACACGTTTTATAGTGGAGTTTGCTCAGCGCTTTTCTGAACCAAATGAGCTAAAAATCTTTTCGTTTCTTTTTGCTACTAAATTTTGTCACTGAAAACCGTCAACGGCGTACGTTTGTAAAAGCGAAATATTCTCAATGAATATCTAGTGGCTATCTAAACGAAAGAATTCATACAGTCCGGTTTAAGATTAAGAAAAACTTCAACAGAACATAAAAGCCCACTTCTAAGCAATTCAGTGATTATTCTTTACCTCATTATCCGATTTCAATGACTTTTTATTAACACGAAGGGGTAACTCAGGTCCCTTATAAAATTAGTCTAGATCCGAAGCAAATAATTCCTTTCTACACTAACCAATTTTGCTTGAGCTCTTTAAAGTCGCTTTTTACTTTTTTTTTAATTTCAATTGTTTTACAATATATCTCGCGTATCTGAATCAGAAAATCATCTCACGAAACGTATATGTAATATATGTCGGTCGGTTTTCAACATAGACATTCTCGACTAAAAATTAAAGTGCAGATGTGCTGCAACCCCCGAGGACCAAACGGAACGCCTCGTTTCCAGAAAAAAGGTCTCCAGTTCTCTACACTCACCATACGAAACACTGCTATGAATTGAGCTGTCTTTTTACGTTGATATTCTATGGGAGCGGGTTCCTTCTTCGGTCGTGCCGACTTATTCGTGCTACAATCATAACATAGCTGCAGCGTGGCCCTACCACGTAAATAGCGATGGCGATCACCATACAAGTACGCCCACATTTACGATGCTTTATTTCGTTCGTATCATTTTCTGGGATATAAGAGTAGGTAGTGGAGCCAAGAGAGAGCTTTGCTGTTGCACGTATGGGCCGGCTCAAACCGGGGTGGTACCAAGACCTCACAGAATACAAAGTGAGAGTGAGTGAGTAAAGTGAGAGCTCAGCTTCCGCGTTTCGTCTAGTAAGTGTAGGTGGCCGGTTTACTCCTTTCTAAAGGGCCGGCAATGCACCTGCAATTTCCCTGGTGTTGCGGTTGGCCATGGGCTGCGGTAGTCACTTAACATCAGGTAAACCGTATGCTCGTTTGCTCCCTCTTCTATATGAAAAAAAGGATATGGTTAAAGCACTAATGATCGCAAGCCATATGATCTTTCCGGTGTTTTCTCATTTTCGTTAACCTCGCAGTACCGCTAGACGGATGGTTTTATATCACACGGCAAAAAAACTTAGATATAAAATTTTATTCGTTTTAAACGAAATGCGATTTGTATTTTTATTGAACTTATTTTAAAACTTTATAACAGCCCTTACTCGGAACTTTTTCAGTCGGTTTAACCCGTAAACCATCTCAGTTTAAGGAGGCATTAAATCGCAACTCAAACAAGAACCGTTACACTGAAGTTAACTCGCATATGGCTTTGTGTCACGAACGTTGAAGTGAAATGAGTAGATCTGACGAGACACGTAGTCAGAGTAGGACGGCCAATGTTAGAAGGGAGATTGGGTGTGGAGAGTATAAAACGAGAAAAACTACACCGCTAAAAGTGAATGCGGTCGAAAGCCACGCTTATTTCTTCGTTAAGTGCATGGATTTTATTTCAAGTGAAATCATGAGTGCTGCCGTCTATTCTGTTCGCCATACAAACGTGCAACGCGGAGGACTGTAACAACCATTTAAAGAATGGGTGCGTTTGGCAGAAAAAGCGCTAGCAAGCGCTTATAAGCGCTAAAATAGTTTTCGGCCAGGACACGATTGCTACTTCAGTAGCGCTGACACAATCCGCCATTTTGCTTGTTTAATTTGTTTGTTTTGAAGTAGAGTTTATAAGTTGTTTTTTTGCAATATTAGTTTTAAGTAATATAATGACATGAATAGACATATACATATTATTAAAAATTCATGATTGGTAAGTTTTTAATATGAATACTTCACAAACATATATTTAAATTAGGTTAGGTTCCCCGGGTTCAACTAACATCGTGTCCTAGCGGAAAATAGCTACTAACGATTTGAAAGCGGTTACCGCTTACGATCGCCATTTTGTTTACAAGCGCTTGCTAGCGCTTTTTTCGGCCAAACGCACCCAATAACTAAAATTTTGTTAAACAAAAAATCTAAATTATAAAAAAAATATAAATGTAGTATAGTGAGCACGTACATCGGCAAGTGTATGTTGGTAACTCAAGTTCGATCCCTATATCCTAAAATTATACAACTCAAAAACACGGTATACAAACTTTTTTTTATTTAATAAGCGTTACCTTCACACTAGGATTTTCTCCTGTATCGTTAGGGCAGTTTACAAACATAAATTTCACAAGGACAAACATCCAGACCCGGAACAATTACTTGTAGGCCATACAAATACTTGTTCCGTGCGGGATTCGAAACCGCGGCCCTTAGCGCTGTAACTCATTGCTAAGCCACTGCTCCACGGAGCTGTCAAATTTTCTGATATGAACTGATGAACTTTAATGATAAGAAATAAAGCATTTGAGTATATAATACGAAAGACAACAGCAGCTATTTTGGGGCAGCGCGGGTGACTCGCCTGTGCTTAAA